GGCACCAATTGCATGGCCCCGTGTGTCTCAAATACGCGCCCGCCTCCAACGCCGAGGCTGGAGAGTGTTTGCGGTGTGTGTGTGTGTGTGTGTGTGTGTGCTGTATTTCAAGTGGCGCAGGTGGGCAGACTTGTGGGGCCATGATATTAGTGAGACGTATCTCGATTCTTGGGATCCACCTGGCGCGCCTGTGCCTCTCTGCGAAGGCCGTGTTGTCCTATGTTTTTCTTTCGTTCGGCCGAGTTCGGAGTGGTGGTTCTGTATTCGGCTCACTGGAAAGATTCTTTGGGATACAAGGGCCAGACCGTCACCGCTCCGAAGGTTGTTTGGGATGATATCCTTGATCGTTGGCTTCCTGACTGTATCGGAGGTGATTTCAGCGTGGGGCCCTCCACCATGGTTGCCAGTGCCCCGCTTGGGCACATTGCTGGAGTCATCGGGGCCCCGCTCACTCCCGCCTTCATCTCCGCAGGGGCCTCCACCATCGTGGACTTTTCACCCTAAGCAACCACTTGGATTTTGCGTCGGGCCAACTTTTCACTGACGCGGATGGCCCTTTTCAGCTCTCGCCGCCCGGCGTGCCTTACTATCTGGCGGACTTTGCAAGATGACCTGGTCAGAGTTCCTGTGAAGTTTCAACGTGCGCCCCCAATTCCTGCTGTCAGACGCCCTGTTGAACCTCCAGTGTATGCTGAGTTGCCCGACGGCCTCAAAAGTTTCTTGGGGCCTCGTCGGGGCCCTGGGGGCAGAATCTACATGGCCGCTGGGAATGAACGAGAAAGAGGGCTGTTACTCCTGGACGTCACTGACGATCTTTGGGCGTCTGAGGCTCGGAACGCGGTGCTGGCCAGGTGCCGAGCTCATGGGGCCCCTGGTCTTCTTGGGGCCTCCCAGCTGCAGTTCAAAGATACGCGCCTTTTAAGCCCCTCTTGGTCACCAGAATGTTCGAAAACGCCTTCCGTGGTAGAGCTCTTGAATGGTTTTCATCGCCTGCGGGAACTTCGACCGCTGTTCTTGCGTGTGTGCAAAAAGGCGTACCTCCTTGCGCCCCACCAACAATGGCGTCGGCTTCCCGTCCGAGGAGGCCCTTTCAAGAGTCCCTGGAAAGCAGGAGGTTAAGTTTGGCATCCGGTTCTTGCAAAGCTTGCGCTAGAAATCCTAATCGCACCTCTCCTCAACATCATCGTCGATCGGATCGACCCGGTCCTGGTCTTCGTCTCTGAATGGGTCAAACTTGGGCAAGTCGAGAATAGGCCCTGTGCCAGGCAATCGTGGAAGGAGTGGTGTGCTGAGGCAGTGGGTGTCGATGTGCGGTAGGCGTTCGGCTTCCTTCGGTGTGGCGAGCCTGTCAACGAAGAACTTGCATGTGTCGATGGTTCTTTCTCCAGTTCGCTCCCTGCCAAGTTTGTTACTGACGTGCAGACGTGAAAGGCCGCTAGGCGGGCCTCGGATTTTGTGGGCACGTCGGGGAACTTGCCCTTCCCCCGTTCGCATTCTAGTCTCAGAGCGGGTTCGCCCTGGGACCATTCGGCGCATCAACAGTCGCGTCAAGAAATTCACTTGCACCCCGACGGGCCCCACCCTAAGCACTGCGCATTCTTGTCGATTAAACCAAATTTGGTTGATGTGCTAGGTCAAGGGCCATCTCGGACGCGGCAGCCCAATGCGTGCTTGATGGGGGGGGGGGGGGGGGGCGGTCAAGGGGGGGGCTATTGGGCGCTGCGATGGGTTTGCGGGGCTCCACTGGAAGACCCGCGGGAATCCCTTCAGGAGTTTGGGGCCGCGCGTTGGCCTCGGGCCTGAGTTCTCCATGGGGCAGGGGCGAAGTGCTCTCGATACTGTTTGGCGTCAAAGTGTCTCCTCTGAAATGCTCTCGGGCCTCGAGGTGCGCTAAGGGGCCCTCCTCTGGGACCTCCTCCAGTTCTGCGAGCATATCAGTCATCGGGAATTGTTTGATCAAAATGTTATTGCTGCGTTCCCTCTCCGCATCCTCACTGGCGCCATCTCAACGTATCGCTGGAAACGGTTTCTCGTCGCTGGATGGAGCGAATCCAGAGCCATTGTTTCCGAGCGGGGGCATTGTTGCAGGCGGCGCCTCGGCGACGCGCGAGGCCGAATCTTCTCTCGCTCCTGCCAGTGCTCGTCGCGGGGGAGGGGGGGGGCGCGAGTGAGGGGCATCGCGTGGGCGACCTCTGAGGCCTCTCTCTCCATTCGTAGCGTGGCAGCCTCGAGGACTGTTTCCAGCAGCTGCGTGGACTTGCGGCCAGTCTCGCTACTGTCATTTCCCAGAGGCTGCGAGTGCCCCCGGCCGAGAAGAAGATGTTTGCCGCGGCCAATCGCACTGGTCTATTGAAAAGTGTCAAATGTAGGCTGGGCAATGGGTCTGTTGCCCCTGCCAGCCTCGGCGTCAGTTTCGCGGCAGGAAAGCGTCGATAGCAGCCATGTGCTAGATTGGTTATGAAGAAAAGAATCCGGAAGTTCAGGCATCGCGTCTCAAAGCTATCGGGTCTCAAGGCGTCCTCCAAGCTCGAGGAAAAGCCCTTCAAGGCTGGTGTCTTACCTGCTGTATCCTATGGGCTTGAAAGTCAGGGGATTTCGTCTCGGGAGCTCCTCCTGTCTTTTCGGCGTTCGGTGGGGCGAGTCTGCGGGGTCGGCAGGGCGGGTTGCAACCTTGACCTGTCGTGGGCCATCGAAGGCAAGTGTGATCCAACTATTCTAGCACGGGGACGTGCGAAACGGCACTGCTGGGAGTCGTGGCGCAGTTCGGAGGGCAGCGGTTGCGGGGCCCCCGGGCGCCGAGACGCGGTGGACCCAGATGTTTTTAGGAAGGCGTTTCCTGCGTGCGCTTCTATCTTCCAGGGGCCCCATGGCAAACCCTTGCTTTCCAGGCCCGGGGGCCAATTTCTGCCGTGCCCGTCTGGCTGGAAGCTGGAGGCCGGTCTTGGGAAGGCCCCGCGGTCCTCGCCAGTAAAAGGGAGACGATGGGTGCTGACCGAATCTTCTCCGATCCAGATCTCTGGAAATGTTGTTGCTGATTTGGCCAATGTTTATTTGTCTCGCTGTGTTCCTGAGGGCCTGGGGGCCCCGCCCCACCCTGGGAACCAAGGTCTTGTTGGTGGAGGTCCCTGGCTCCCCCTTATGGGGCGTGTCGCGCGACGTCTATCGACCTGGGCCGGGCATGTACTTTTGGCGAGTCATTTCCAAGTGCTCCTACAGGGATGTCCCTCAGAAAGTGGGGATGCGATGTCGAGTCTACGTGTCCGCTACGTGGCGAGGCAGAAGACGCCATCTTGCACCGATGCTGGATCTGCCAGCGCCATGACATGGTGCAGCGACGAGCTGCTCATGTCGGCGATGATGCCATGGCGCAGGCCCTGGAGTGTGGCGAAGCTTGTCTTATTTTCTCCAGGCTGTGGCCTGCCAACCCTGACGTCCCACCTCCGTGTGAGGACTGGTGCTTGAAGTTTTTCGGGGACCTAGGTGAACCCGTGGAACCCCTTGTTTTTGGCCCCGAAGCCGAGCTTTTCACTGATGGATCCTGTTTCCACAACTCTCGTGAAGACATTGCCCGTGCTGGTGTTTCCGTAGTGGAAATGCAAATGGACGGAATGTAAATTCAGAGCGTTTACAAACCCCTCCCCATGGTATTCCGGCAATCTCCAGGTGATGCGGAGCACGCGGCTCTGGCCTTGGCTGTGCTGAGGCAAGAGCGGCCGCCCGATGCCCCCCCCCCAAGGCCACCTCTGTTGATTTTTTGTTTGGGGGGGAGGTCTCCGTCGAGAGCCTTGGGGGAGGATCTAGGAGCAATTTTGTCTGGAGGTCCATTGCCAGAAATGTCGGCGGCGGCGAATAGGTCTCACTCCGAAAGATTGCTGCCCGCAGATCTTTGAGCGAAGCGGTGGGTGAGAACGATGCGCGGGACATTCAAGGTTCCACCGCGGCCGACCACTGGGCTAAACTGGGAGCCAGGGCGCGCGACCTTTTGCCCCGAGAGCTTCTGGAAGTTGAAAGAGGTGAGCAGGAGCATGAAGGTCTTGTCGCGGGTGTCTTACATGTTCTTGAAAGCTTCCCCTCGTGTGAGGCCCAAGTCGGTAAGCTCAAGAGGCCTGCGAACGACCCAGCGCCTCCGTCTCCGACGTCTGAACACATCCATGTTTGGTATGGCGCCGTCCAGGGGTGTACAAGATGCCATAGACAGGTCTCGGTTTCGACCCAAGTCTGACGGACCTTCTGTGAGGAGGTGGGGGTCCGAGGCACCACCTCCACTGGGCAAGGGTGAAAAGAGCGATGTCGCTGTTACATTATGCGTTTCCTGTGTGGGGGTTGCCAGCAGTCGCGGCAGCCCCCTCCTCAAGTTGCCTTGTGAGACCCCGAGGAGAGCCCGGAGCGTTCCAAACTTCTGAGGGGGATCGTCCCTGGAACTAAATGCAGACTGGACCAGTCTTTCCCCCTCTCGTTCGTTCCTTTCTTCCCCTTTCCTGCCTCTGCCCCTCCCCTCGAGGCTGGTCCCAGGGCGGTCGGTTCTTAGTGCTGTAGTCGGGCGTCGGCTGCTCGCGGAGTGACCAGGCGCGCCTTAGTCGTGCGAGCCATAAGGAGGTAGGAGGAGGAGGAGGAGGAGGAGGAGGAGGAGGAGGAGGAGGAGGAGGAGGAGGAGGAGTCAAGGAGGAGGAGTCAAGCGCGGTCGCTGCCCAGGGGGGGGCGGGGGCGATGGGCCGGGCTGCGCGCGCCAAGGGTTGCGCGGGCGCAGCGTGTGTTCCATGGTGCCTTCGCGAGGCAGCACGCCGCCGCTGGGCTCGCCCCCCCGCCCTGCGAGGCCTCCAGGGAGGCCGCGGAGCTGGGGCCGAAGCCCGGGGCGGGGAACCTCCTCTCCGCCGCACCGACGTCCACCAGATGAGGATCTTGAAGGAGTTGGTCGAGCAGACTCTGTTCCTGCCCGGCGGCAGCGGCCGCGACGCGATGTGCCAGTCGAACAGATGCGACGCTTGACGTTCGACGTGGACATGCCCCAAGCCGCTGGGCGAGCAGCTGAAGGGCAGATCAGGGAGACAGAGCGGGTCTGGAGAGTTTCGGTGCTGCCATCGCGGGGGGGCGCCAACGCGAAGCGCAGCGCGCGCCGCGTGCGCGTGGAGGCGGGCGCGCTCCAGGTGTGCTCAACGGCGCGCGTTCATCATCCCAAGTACTACCACGTATCCTGCCTGGGGCGAGTTCTCGGCCGGGCTGCGCAGGTTGAAGAGCTCACAACCTTGCCTGCAACCCTGCAGGAGGAGGTGGCGCCGTGGCTGGAGGCGCCGCCGGCCGGCCCTCCCCCTGCGGATGCGGGTATGGGAGGCCCTGCCAAGCAGGACGCGGACGAGAGCAACATGCACTTGCCGGACATCGAGGTGATTCCCAGCGCCGTGGTGTTGCCAGAACCTGGGATTCTGCATCGCATGTCGTGGTGGTCGGCCGCGGGTGCGTCAGCCATGGGGGAGGCGCGCGCCAGCATCGACTCCCTGCTCGCGAACCTCGCCTCGACGCTGGACGGAGTTCCGAATTCTCTGGCTCTTGCTATTAGCGAGGCGCGTGAGGCCGTCTCCACATACATCCTGCAAGCCACTTCTGAGGCCGAGGCTCTCGGGGGCTGGCGGTGCTTGCTGTGCGTGGACCGCATGCTGTTCGGTGGGCTCCATGCGGGCCGCGGGAGCGTCGCAGACACCACGGTGACGGCGAAAGTGTCCGAGCGGCTGCAGGATTTTTGGGCTGGGCGTTGGCAGACCCTGTTATGCGATACTGCGATCACCTCTCGCGACGGGGGGGCGCTAGACATGAAAGACCGTCCAGTGCATCGTGTGCGAAGTTTGCTGATGAAGGGTGAGCTTGGAAGGGCTGCCGCAGCCGCCTGGGGGGCAGCAGCGATGCGCACTCCCGCCGAAACCGCAGAAGCGTTCGTGCAGCAGGGCCCGCAGGAGCCTGATGGCCACGACGTGAACGGACCTGCTGACGCCGAGTCCGCGCACCAATTGCGCCGAGACGTGGAGGAATGCCTGCGAGGTCACTGGCGAAAGGTGCCCCAAGGGGCGGGCGCTGGTCCACAGGGCGACGCGTTCAAACACTGGCAGCCGCTGGCTCACGCGGCCGGGCGAGGAGAGGCCACGGCGCGCGTGCTGGCCACGCTCGCTGGGGGTGACGCGCCTATGGAGGCGCTGACGCTGGCGCTGGCAGGGAGGCTGTTGGGCCTGGCCAAGAAAGACGACGGCGCCCGGGTGCTTGCCTGCGGGTCTGTCCCGCGCCGATTGGTCGGCCGCGCAGTGTGCAAGGCGAGACGGGCCGCCATCGCAGACGCAGTCGGCGACTGCCAGTACGGGGTGGGGCAGTCATCTGGCACAGAAGCCTTGCACAAGACGCTGCGCGCGAAGGCGGAGCAATTTCCGGATCATGCGGACGTCTCCCTGGACATGGCGCACGCGTTCCGCTGCGTCCGGAGACGCAGCGTCTTCCGGGCACTCCGGGCGAGGTGCCCAGATATGGAGCCTTTGGCCCGCCAGTGGTATGACCGGCCAACGACCCACGTGGCCAGCGGAGGCGGGAACGCAGCCAAGTTAGTGCAGCAGCTGCATGGCTTGGACCAAGGCTGTCCGCTCAGTCCGGCCCTCTTTGCCATCGCTGTGGCACTGGCGCTGGAGGGCCTCCGAGACTTTGCACGGCAACGCTCTGCGGACTCCTGGGTGTACGCTTACTTGGACGACGTCTACTTGGTCGTCCCGCGCCTGCACCTGCGAAGCGTCCTGGCTGAGGCGCGGCGCCTCTTTAGCGAGCTCGGGTTGCACCTGCGGGAGCCGAAGACACGCTTGTGGTTCCCCGCAGGCCCGCCGGCCGACCTGCCCGCAGACCTGGCCCAGTACGTGGTGAGAGAGCTCCCCTGCCTTGGGAGACGCGTCTCCTTCGTGCGCCCACGGCCACGGGAGCAACGCGACGAGGAGGACGGGCGAGACGTGCCCGCTGGCGTGGAGGATGCAGAGGCGCCGGGCCTGGCCACGGAGCGGCTGCGCACCTACGCGGGCAAGCTCTTTCACCCTCTGGCGGCCGGGCTGGAAGCGCAACACGTAGTCACGCTCTTGCGCTGCTATGTGAACGGAGCTGTCACTCACTGCCAGCGCGCTCGCGTCGCAACTGCGGGGGCTTGGCAGTGCTACAAAGAGGCCGTCGCAGCCGCGATGTCGAGCTTGCTCGGCGCGCCGCTCTCGGACGACAGCAAAGTGCTGCTCTCCCTCCCACTGAAGCTCGGGGGCGCGGGCTTCCAGAGCGCGACGCTGCGGGCCGACGGTGCTTGGGTGGCATCCTGGGCCGCGGTGGAGGACGCCGTGAGGGCCGACCAGGGCCTGCCGACCGAGGCCGCCGCCCGCGCAGCGACGCCCCGACTCACTGCAGCGCTGGCGACAGCAAGGGCCCGCCTCGGCGCCGCTGGCGCGGCGGCCTTTGCGAGCACCCAGAAAGAATTGCTGCAGCCAACGACCCGGCGGGTTTACCGCGACCTGCTGTGACGCTGGACAAGCCAGGGCGACAACGACGGGGCAGCCCTGGTTCGCAGCGCCGGCGGAGAGGGCGGCGCCTGGCTGTGGCCACCGCGCAGGACGGAACACCTGCTCGGCGACGACAATTTCATGGTCAGCCTCCAGCGCCGCCTCCTGGTCGCAGACCCCGCGGCGAGCGGCGGAGCGCCGTGCGCGCACCGAGCGACGACCACGGGTGCGCTCTGCGGATGCGTGTCCCAAAGGCGCTATGGCGTCCACGCCGTGTGCTGCCGCACAGGCCCCGGCTTCGTGCGCCGCCACAACGGGTGCCGTGACGGAGACTCTGTGCTGACAGGGCAGCACGTCCCAGGGTGGGACTGGATGACGCGACATGGCATTGAATAAGTTGTCCTAGACGTCATTATGATCACCAATTCTGGGCGCGTGGCTGTGGATGTCAGCGTCGCTGAGGCACCGTTTGCCGACAACGCCACAGCGCGGGCACGGGCGCGGGCCGACGGGGCAGCGGCGCGCGAGCGCGAGCAGGAGAAGCACCGCCGTTACCCAGGGCCAGGCCTGGTTGCGGCCGCGCTGGAAACAGGCGGCCGGATGGGCCACGAGTTCCGGGCGTTCCTGCGGGCGAAGGCGCCCACGGACGAGCGGCGCACTGCCAGCCTGGCAGATGTCCGCCAGCGGCTGGCCACAGCGCTGCAGCGGGGCGTGGCCGCCATGCTGCTGGGCAGGGCGGGAGCCCAGTCGTGGCCGTGGCGGACGTCCTGCCCGGCCTGGCGACGGGCGCAATGAGGCGTCGACGCCGCATCTAGTTTACTACTTAGTAACCTCTTCTCCCTCTTTCCCCTCCTCCTCCGCCTCTGCCCCCCCTCCTGCCTTGCTCCCCCCGCCGGCCCTGTAGTCACGTTGTTCGGCACGGATCGCCCCGCGTCTGTTTGCTCCCTCGCCTTCCCCTCTCCTTCCCCTCTCCTCCCCCGCTCCTTGCCTCGGACAGACGCGTGCGCGCCTAACGGGTGGGGTCGGTGGCGCAGGTCCCCCAGCCGCGCGTCCGTCCCCTCCGCCTTCCGGCTCTCTTCCTGTTCCTCCTCCTCCTCCCCCTTCCTCCTCTTCCCCTTCCTCCGGATGCCTTCGCTTGCCCCGCGGCATCAGAACCAGTCTTAGCAAGAGACCTGCCTTGGATTCTGGGCGCCACGAAGTACTGTCGAGCTGTTCAGGACGAAGCGGCCTCGCCCCCTGCTTTTGCTTGCTGGCCCGCCTCTGTCCTCTCCTTTTCTTTCTTTCTTTAAGTTAGAGGAGGAGGAGGAGGAGGAGGATTTTTTTTGACACGGCCATGACTGACACAGCGTTGGTGCCAGTTAAAAGGGACCTCTGGCGGTGACTGAGCGGGACGGGCCGCACGGACACGGAGGGCGCCAGAGGTCAATCGGAGTCACCAGACTCCACGGTGCTTACACGAGCAGCTTGCAAGGGAGCCTCGTCCTCCTCTTGGCGCATAGACTTGATCACACGCCTCGACTGCTCTCGCTCGGACACCTCACCCTCTTCGTGGGGAAAGGCGCCCTGCTCTGCACCTGGCCCTGCTTGTGGGGCAAAAAAAGAAAAAGCTTCAAGAGGGCCCGCAGCTCCGATGGTGCCAGACGACGACGACGGGTCGACGACTCGATCACTCTGCTGGGCGCACTCAAGAAGGGGCTCCACCACTGGAGCCTGATCGGCAAAATGCCTTGGATGCTGGACTTCGTGGTCCCCAGCAGCAGCGACGATGGTCGACGACGAGGACGACGGATCGACGACAGTATCGTGCTGCTGGGGATCCTCGCCCAACGCCTGTAGGTCCTCAGGAGACGCCTCAATCACGACTCCGTCGATCTTGGGATGGCGTCCCTTGAGCACTCGATACTTCCAACGTTCGAAATTGTTCCTCGTTGGGGCCCTGCAAACCTTAGCAAGCAGCGCGAGGGGGCCCAACGTAGATATAGCTTTACACCTAACGCAAATGAAAAAGCTGAGACCGAACGCTGCAATCGGAACTCAACAACATGTGGCCTCTGGCGGCCACCTGGAGCAACTACTCTGGTACCTTCCCCGTACAACCTCCAGTTGAGGGCACGTCGCTCTCACCAAAGACGAAATTAGGGCTGGGCCGCCGTATCTTGAGGCATACAGCACACCTCCAGTATGGCCTATGCCATTCCCATTCGTGCTCAAAAGTTTCAGGGCCAGCGGGCTTCTGGCAAGGCTCTCTGGGGTTCAAGTGGACTCCCGTGAGATCCAGGGCGGGCCACTTGGGCAGTGAACGGGCCGCAAGCCTGCAAACCGCACGAGAAACCTTAACTTTCCTGTCTACTTCATCAAGCTCCGCCTTGGAGCCTGTGGGGTGGGCGAGCAGTCCTTGACGTGCTGCGCGATCGGCAGCATCGTTTCCGAATTTCTCCCAGCGTTGCTGGGCAGTTAAATCAGGACTGTCGGCCACATGCGCTTTTACTTTCCTAACAGCAGACAGGTCACACGATTGGGCCAATAACATGGTGCCCGAATACATTTTCTCATAGGAGAACCTGGCCTCAGGAGGAAGCGCGAAGGTGCTGACCACATTCGCGCAATCCGAAAAACCTTCCGAGGGGCCTCCAAGGTTCTGTGAAACCATGGCGAGGGCCGCAAACTCTCCAGCTTGGGGGGTCTGAGGGAGCGGAGCCCATATAGGCCCACACACCGAGCAGGTCTCCTGAGCATCCTGGGTGACCTGTACATCGCCCCAAGTGGCCCTACTCAGCTCCTTGATAGGGTGTCTGGTGCAGGACCCGCCCATGAAAATATATCCCTTGACCTGGCCAGGATCTACGACGTCCTCTGTTCCTTCGGGCGTGTGAGTGATAATACCGCCTTGCTGTCGTGGGCGTGGTAGTACATCTCCAGGGGTGTTCAAACCGCCCCTTAGAGAAAAGTAGCGTTTCCTTAGCGTCCGATCGATCGATGCCCCTAGCCTGCGTGATCAATTCGTCATCATCGATCAAATCCCTCCTATCATCGTCGACCGCACTGCACTCCCACAGACGGTGGAAGATCGTGTCACGCGCTCCGCAGCCTAAAGGACACTGAGCTGATGGCAGAGCGTACCCCAAGTCGAGCGCACGCTCGTTGGTCCACACTGCTCCGCACACCAGCGACTTGATACAACCCTTCTCGTAATATGTATACCGTGACGAACAAAGCTGCGACGATACCACATCATAACATACTCGACAAGGTACATCGTGAACTCTACCAGCATCCCTTTCTAGCTGTCTCAAAACTCCATCATGCAACATCTGTTTTATGAGCGCTGGGGAACAGGTCGTTAAAAATAGGTCTTCTCCGAAATCGTTGACCAAGACGCAGAAACTCTTCATGTCCCATTGGATCCTGAGGAGGCTGAGGCGGAGCGCTGAAAGGGGACCCGTGACCTTCTTCCAGGCGAGCTCTTCTTTGGGGACCCCGCACGCCGACCCCCAAGCTTCCCTCAAAGCTCCGAACGACAAAGTATTAGGCGAGGATCTAGCTTGGTTCGAGAAGACCTCCTTAGCGTAGCGCACCACTGGCGCCGCTGATCCATACCACGGCGGATCACCGTGCAACAACAACAAAGATGTGAGGGACCTCGTGCCTGCAGACGGCCGTAAGACAGAGCCCACAGCGCGACGAGCAGTCGCCAACTCGTGATCAGACTGGCCGTGCACCTCAGCTCCATAAGACAGGCCTGCTAGAGGTCCACTCGTGAAAAAACTTCGGCAGTGCTTGCCCAGTATCCAAAGAACATGCATATTTATAAGGAAAAATTATAAAATACAAGTATAAAAAAAAAACCAAATAAGTAGTAGTAACTAACATGCACCGCTTGACCATCGCGTGCAAGTGGCGGTTCTCTCTGAAAACGCTGCGCTCTTATGCTGCTTATTCCTGTCGTGGCCCGGTCTCCTCCTCTCGCTTCGGCCGTTTTCTTCATGCCCAAGACCGTCTGCGTTTGCCACATGAGAGGCGCTACCGTGCTCGCCGCGTGCTTGCTGAGGATTCGCCAGTGCTGTGGTGAAAACATAATGACCGACCTTTTTCCGGCGACTTGTACGCACATCGCTTCAGTGAGCCCAAACGTTTTAGCTGGTGCCGCCGACGACATGCCAGTTTTCAATCGTATATATAGATATATTATAGATATATATGTATATATATATATATATATATGTCCAAGGACGTGCGGAGCGGGAAAGTGATGCAGTCTACTGTGGGAATGGCGTGCGCTCTAATATACGTGGTCGCCAAAGAACAGCCTGCGATAACTCCTGAAAAGGCAAAGTGAGGGCCATGCACCATGCTGGCCATCGCCAAGAAGCGCGGGCCCTTGTACGCGGCGATGCTTACACGGCACAGCTGCTTTGATAACGCTAGCAGCTCGCATCTATCTCCCAGGATGGACAGCACAATAGTCTCGTAGTACTTCAGGAGGTCCCAGAGAACTGTACAGGCCAACGTCTTTTCTGCTTTCTTGGGCGTTCCCTTGAGGCTCTTGGACTGCTTATGGGGCCCATGACGAACAGCTTTTTCAGACCTCACCGCTTGCCTCCAGACCACGTCCGAAGCTCCCGAGAAGGGCCCCGCCGCCAAATACGGGCGCCAATTGGAAGCCTCCCAAGATGCCGCAATGGGTCTCCGAAGCTTGCCCCCAAAGCGATAAAAACTGCTGAACGACCCAATAGGTCTCCAACCTCCTGCAGGTTTGACCACAAGCGGAACCACAATCGTGCGGACCTGATTCGGCAGGATGGAGGTCGCCTCCATGACCGCATATAAAGACATCAAGGCCAGCAAACCTTGATCTGCGAGGCTGCTGAAGTGGCGCATGTAGAAGCCGTCCACGGAGGTCGCGGACGTGAGCTTATACCGATGCGATACTGCCCTCATCTCTGGTGGCGGCACAAACTCGAGGGGCTGAATGTACTCAACTTATTCGGGCAACTCTGGCGTCTTGGAGGCCTGCCAAAGCTTACCAAACTTCTGGGCCTCAGAGGCCAACAACGATTCGGGGTCCGCCAGCACGGCCCCTTGGGCCGAGAGGGTGGCGGTGGGTTGCCACGCTTTGGGGAGACGAGTCCACGCATGAGCTCTCCCCGCCCCTTTATCAACCCCGTCGCATGAACAGGCCTTCCAAGACTTCTGAGCCTCCGACTTAGCCTTCAAAGAGTACGCCCCTAAGTCCTCGGAGATCTTATCTAAGATGCTGCAGCCCAAATCTAACTCCCCGAGAACCTCCGGGACCTCGAAGACCTTATCTATGTCCTGAACCTGGATAAAGCCTTTGATGCAGTCATAAATCTCCGAGAGCTCTTCCAAGTGTCAGCCTATGCAGGCCGGGGGATCTGCTAGGCAAGCACGTGCACCGCGAAGCTGGCGGAGCACTCGAGACCGCGCTGGCGTGGGGACTGTCGGTGTCGGTCCTGGCGGAGCTTGGCTCTCAAAAAGCATATCGGATTGCGGCAACCATGCCGTCGCCCCAACTTCGGAAGCTGGAGCCCCCGTCGCCGCCGAAACGTCCAGGGCGCGCAGCAGGCCGATAAAAGGACGGAACGTGCTCTCCAACCAGCGCAGCGTGAACAGAGCAGGTTGCCTGACGTCTTCCCTTTTGTATACTTCCAAAGCTGACCTCCAAATCAACTTAGGCAACCTGCCCCTTGTACCTAACAGCGGGATGTCGATCTGTCGACTGGCAATCAACTCTTTTTCTGCTGTGTTGGCCCAAATCTTGTAGGCCAAATTCATGC